TTTCAGTCGGAGCTCTTACAGCGTCTCCCTGTATGTGCTGATCCGTCACAAAGCACAGTGTCACACATCCCAGAGTCACTTAGCTGCGTCACCCGCAATACACTCTCGCAGTGAAGCGGCGTCGTGATGCTGTAGTCAGAGCCAGGCCTGCGTTAGGAAAATACCCCACACAAACCCACAGGCTGTGGTCACTGTGGAACACACTTAAAAATGATGGTTCTTCCATAGTTTTTAGTAAAGAAAGTGGTTCTATATAGAGCTGTGAACACTTAAAGAACCCTCTTTTATGATTGTAGTGTTCTCTGCATGGTGAAATGGTTCTTCAGATTGATGGAGAATGTGCTGTAGATGGTTCTATATAGAAAGCTTTTTTATAAAAGGGTTCTATATAGCACCAAAAAGGGTTTGGTGTCAGGCTTGTTACAATACAAGAGCCCTTTTTGGTGCTATATAGAGCCCTTCTCACAAAGGTTCTATGTAGAACACAGCACATTCTCCATCAATCTGAGGAACGATTTCACCATGCAAAGAAACTTTTAATCATAAAAAGGGTTCTTTAAGTGTTCATGGCTCTATATACACAACCATTTTCTTTACTAAAGAACCTTTGAAGAACCATCATTTTTAGGTGCGTGGTTAAAGGGGAATTCCAGTGAATTTTCAAAATTCCAGCATTACTGATTGTGTGAGATGTAAACAGAGAGATTCAGAGTGGTTTGGTGTGAAATGGTTCAGATGTCTTTACAGTGGTGGTGATAGGAACCAGGGGTCGCCATGACTACAACACAGATATAGACATTTTATTTACTATCCAGAACCACCAGTGAACCTACACGAGTCTTCTGAGTTTATATGGAATGCTGATGATGGAAAATAGTGGAAAATCTGAAATAATAAGTTTTCTTTGGGGACTGTTTTGCCTCACAGCGCCCTGCATGTATCCCTCAACCATGAATGGAGTTTAAGTTCTCTAAACTATCATAAAACAGCATCTCAGTCATCAGGCAGTGAATTCATAACCATTTCAATATCATACAGCCCTGGTCTGAAACCTTCACTTAGCCTGCTTGTAGAATTTAGCATTATTTGTATTTTGACCTTATCATTCAGAGGATCCAGTGACATTCAGGAGAAAATCTGTGTAGGACAACACATATCGGCTCTGGAGCCCTGTTTGAATATTTCATAATGAACTTTGGTCCAAAATGATATGGAATAAAATGTACAAGTTGGAAACATGTTTACAAACAGAGTCTGTAAGACTGTTTGTGCTGATTTACTTCACAGTCTTTAGTCTGATTAAACATGTTCACACTATGGAAGAATATAATTATGCACACAGTCATATGCAAAAGTTTGAGCACCCCCAGTTTTATTGATTTTTCTAATAAGTTAACTCATCCTCTATGCAGAGCACAGTTAAATAAGACATGTTTCTGCTCATCTCAGTGCACAATCTGTTTATTTTACATATTTAACATATGGGAAAAATATAAAACATATGCCATAACTTTTGCTCAGGCCATATTCAATTTATTTATATGTTAAATTCCATAAACAGACAGTATTTGTATATTAAAATGTTCAGCAGTGTGTCTCTGTAGCAGATGTGTTCTAACTTACTCTCGCTTAGAAAAACAACAAAAACATGGAACTTGAGCAGGGGTGTGCAAACTTTTGCATTCGACCGTACAGTCTCCGAAACCACTGACCACCTGCATTTAATACATTAGTGTTTATCTGCTCCAGCACACCGGATTCAGCTCATAAGATCATTAACAGACCGCTGTGCTAATGTCCAGGAAGAAGGACTGTAAGAGCATTAAATCTGTCATCCTATCAGCTCCGACTTTCCTCAATAAGTCTCTGTTTAAATAGATATGCTTAAAGTACTTCTTTGCCGTACTGCTATTAATTACTCTATACTGTGTTATTGGGTATTTTTGGTCACTCCTGCTGTTGCCAGCGATCATCTATAAGGCTATTAAAAGGCTAAGGGTGGTTCAGAGTGGTTTGGAGTGAGACGCTCTGTTCTGGAGAAACTGACCAAGTCAGAACTGTTCACAGTGGTGGTCATAGGAACCAGACGTCCACCTCTAAAAGCTCCCTCACAGAAAGTTACTACATGAAATGGTTCTGAATTCACTGCCTGATGACTGAGACACTGTTTTATGATAGTTTTGAGAAGATTTTGGCCTTAAACTCCATTCATGGTGGAGGGATACGTAATATGCAGGGTGCTATGAGGCAAAATAGTCCCCAAAGAAAACTTATTATTTCAGATTTTCCATTATTTTCCATCATCAACATTCCATATAAACTCAGATGACTCGTGTAGGTTCACTGGTGGTTCTGGATAGTAAATAAAATGTCTATATCTGTGTTGTAGTCATGGCGACCCCTGGTTCCTATCACCACCACTGTAAAGACATCTGAACCATTTCACACCAAACCACTCTGAATCACCCTGTTTACATCTCACACACTGAATTGTGGAGTAATTTCTAAAATTCTAAAGCACTTTTCTCCCAGTTCAACAGTTTTTCAGCCATCAGAAAGAAACCCAGTGTCATGTATGATGTGTTGTGTGACACTGTTTTGGTCTTTACTAGAGAAAAAATACATTTTACATAAATCCAATGAATAAAATACAATAATATCAGCACAGTTTTGTCTTTCATCTTCCTTACTGTACTCTGTATACTGATTGTTGATTAGTTTACATTTGAAGACGCTAATATGAAGAGAACGTGTGTGAATCTGTAACGTGGCACAGCCTGAAACTGTTACCTCAGGTCACAGCTTGGCACCATTTGACCTCAGTGCTCTGTCACTGTTAGTAGTCCATTCTGACCCTCTGATGGTCAACAGGCTCTAAATTTAGTGCGTCTCTGGGCAGACTCACCTACAGGTGCCCACACCTTTACCTTTCCACCCCACGTCTGTCTGGTAACGGTGCCAAAAGTACATCACGATACACAAAGGCATGTTCACCTCACACGAACTTACAGTCCACTGAATCTACAATGTTTTTCAAGTTAGAGTGGACAAAATGCCGTCCAGCGAAGTAGCGATGCACCGACATGAGCACTGTGGGCCGACATTAGTCATGCACAAATGTACTGATACCGATGCTGATGCATAAATGTGTATCAAAATAAATCGAAATAAATAAATTAATAAATAATAAATTAAGTAAATAAATGCAGAGAAATATAAAATTACATATGCAGCAAAATGAATTTTAGTGCAGCAGCCCAGCATCACTGAAACATCCTGCTCTTCTGGAGTTCAGTAAATGAAATACATTTTAAAAAATCATTACCTATTGGATTGGAACTATCAATCAAATCTAATCACCATTTCACATTTAATATTATTCATTAATGATAATGTTATCATGCATCCCTGTTGAAAAGGCTGTATTTTTAAATCAGTGTATGCAAAAATAAGCTATTAAAGAAGAAACAAGAATAAAAAAAGAAACAATTAAAAAAAATGAATAAAATAAGATGCAGACATAACGAGCTGCCATCCAATCAATTACTAGTTATTATGCTGTTTATTCAGTTACTCTACTGTTGTTTACAGGCTCCTTATAATTAGTCCAAATCTGTCTTTTCGTGATCCGTGCAGTTGTTCTAATCACACCATTACACACTGATAGAAGAGTACTGTGATGTCATTTATTACTGTAAATGCTGTCTGGCACGCATGGAGCCACTCCAGCACGCTGTGCTGACTAACAGGGCTCATCTGCTTCAGTACAGCCTACAGAAAGCTATCATAGCTCTGTTATGGACGGTAATATGAATGCTGAGAGCTGAGAGCGCTCAGTCTGGCAGTGATGGAGGGGATTAAGAGTCCTCTGGGTAAAAGGCAGGTTCACTCACTAATCACCTAATCAACATTTGGGGGAAATATGGCAGCGTAATCTAGCACTGGGGCTGTTTACAGCGCCCTTCGGACCATTTACCGTGTGGAACAGTGTCTTACTGAATATAAACACTGATATAAACTGATTTCTGGTGTGTTTCCTTTGTGCGTAATATCAGTGCACTTTTACGCACAGAGCGCACGAGCTTTACGCACCAACAGAACTTCGCCGATTGAATCCATGCAGTGCGTTTCTGGTGCTGCACGAGCTGCAAGGGTTCTAACGTCCTTGCTTGTAAGGTTCTAGATTTTGTTTACGTTTTCACATGCGTCACGTGCGGCTGGTGCACCGGGCGCCCGCAAATAACCTTAAACAGACTGCAACACATTCAAAACTCTGCTGCAGGAGTTTCACCCACACCAGAAAACATGGTTCCTCAAGGGTTCTTTAGTAGAGACAATGTGTATATAGAACCATGAAGAACCATCTGCATGCTTAAATGGTTCTCTGCATGGTGAAATGGTTCTTCAGACTGACGGAGAATGCGCTGTAAATGGTTCTATATAGCACCGAAAAAGGGTTCTGCTATTGTGACGATGTCAAGCTTGCAACAACGGGAGAACCCTTTCTGGTGCTATGCATATGCCCTATACCATGCAAAGAACCGTGTAAGCATGAAATGGTTCCATTGAGAACTCTTGGTTCTACATAGATCCATTTCCTTTACTAAAGAACCGTTGAAGAACCATGTTTTTAAGAGTGTACTTGGCTGGTTTGCTTCTTTTGGTGTTCTTGGGCTTTGAAAAGGTGCTGTATAAATAAATAAATACATTATTATTACTACATTATATTTACATTATTAAATACATTATTATTATTATTATTATTATTATCATCATCATTATCATCATCATTAATTCAACTCAGTATTGCTGCACTACAGCAAAAAAACAAAAACAAAAACAAAACACTGCAGTGTTAATTAAGCACTGACTTTTAACCGCTGTGTTTTTGCGCAAAACTGCACTAAAACGCACACAGAGCCAATCAGAGCATCACAAACACCTCGAACACCTCAGACCTCCTCAACTTCAAGTCCACGGCTGCACTCAGACTTACTCACCAGTAGATGAGGGAAAGTCCATCAAAACGCTCGAGCTCTCTGCCCCGGGGGTTCAGACAGGACATCGCATCCAGCAGAGAGGTGAAGGCGGGTTTCTCTGTGGGCGCTAAATCAGACTCATCACACTGCAGTGTCTCCTCTGTGTCTCCGCTGTGTCTCCTGACTGAAGTGAACAGAGAGCCGCAGGAGGACTGAAGTAACCTCGCCTCTAATCTGGGCAGCACGTGGGTCTTTGTGCTCACCGCGCGCCGCTCAGCAGGTCCTGATCGCCGCTCCGCGCGCTGCTTCACTTTTTACAGCAGCTCGGTGGGCTCGTGTTCTGCTCACGGGTGCCGGGTTTCTTTTCCCGCCTCTATTCGGACAAACCCCGACCACCAGCGACCAGGACTGGCTAAAGCAGTCAGTGTAGAGCGGCACACAGCCAATAGGGGCATAGGAGGGCGGGGCTTTGCGGAATACGGGTGGAACAAAAAGAACGTCTGATAAAAAGTGCGCCCTGTCAGCGGAGAACGAAACAGGGCAACTGGCTCAGTTCTGTTCCGTTCTACTCTATTCTATTCTGTTCTATTCTATTTTGTCCTATTCTGTTCTCTACTATTGTCTTCTCTTCTATTCTGTTCTGTCCTATTCTGCTCTCTTCCGTTCTATTCTGTTCTCTTCTGTCCTATTCTGTTCTCTACTGTTCTGTTCTCTTCTATTCTGTCCTATTCTGCTCTCTTCCATTCTATTCTGTTCTCTTCGCTTCTGTTCTATTCTCTTTTACTCTATTCTGTTCTCTTCTATTCTGCTCTCTTCTCTTCTTTTCTGTTCTCTTCTACTCTATGCTGTTCTCCTCTCTTCTATTCTGCTCTCTCCTGTTCTGCTGTCTTCTGTTCTCTTCTACTCTATTCTACTCTACTCTATTCTCTTCTACTCTATTCTGTTCTCCTCTCTTCTATTGTTATATTCTATTCTTTTTGTTAAATCTATAGACATGACATCTTTCAGCATGTTTAAAAAATATTTAAGTCTAGATCAATAACCAATAAACCTGATCTAAATGTGAGACGATTGACCAAAACTCCATTTACAAACATTTCTGATATTTTAACCTCCAGTCAGAGTCCTTAAAGAGTTCCTTAAAGAGTTTCACTAAACAGCAGCAACATACATTTGGAAATTACAGCAACCAAATAATAACAACACCTCTCAGAAAATGTAGTTAGAGTTAGCTAGTGCCACTAATCTGTCATGAACTCTGCCTTTTCTATATTTATTATCTGATATATATGATCTGTTCTTAAAAACAACAAAAACATTATTTTCTATGTCCAGGCAAGTTTATTTGTGTAGCACCTTTTATACACAGTCAAGGGTGGAATACTCTTATAATGTTCTGACCACAGCCTCATAACGAGAAACATTAGATATATTCACTACATTAAAATTGTTTTCACTTGATAAGAGATCATTTTTGCAGTGAAGGACTGTGGAGCAAAAGATCTGAGTGGGTAAATGTGGACACAGTCCAGCAAGTGGTCACTGTGCTGCTCCTTCTGTTTGCTCAGATGGTTTAAATGAATGAAGACGTTTCAGTACAATCACTGCCTGCTGTCTGTGGTGAAACTGTTTATGTAATTTTCACTGAACATGCTGAAATACAGAAGACAGACACTGTTTTTACTTCATAACAGTTGGAACAATCAAATATCACACACATCACAGCGGCGTTTTCCTTCAGTCAGTGTCCAGTCAGCTCCAGCAGGCTTCTCTCTCTGGTCTGCTCTCAGTCCACTCAGTCGCTCCTTTTGTCTTAAAGCTATTATACCAGCCATATATTAGTCCATAAAACTCTTCCCTCGTGCCTTCAGACTGAAACACACTCAGCTGGTCGTCTCTGTCCCTCAGGCTCCTCTGCGACTGTCACTGGGAGTCGGGTTGAGTGGATGGATGTGATTTGCAGAGCTCAGGCTGCAGGTAGAACACAAGAACGTCGCTACCAGAACAGCCTCAGGCTTAAAGGGCAAACATTCCACATTTTATCTGCATTTCATCATGTTTCACTTATGAGGTTTGGATTTTTATGAGCAGAAAACATTTTTTACATGATCAATTTCCAGCCTCTGTTTATCCCTTAGAAATAAACAGGCTGGTTTTGTTACTGCGCCTTTAAGACTGAAAAGTCAATCAATCAGTCAGCCTTTATTTTCGGAAATACACTGAGGGTGACCTTCATTTAACATAGCCAAGGATTTACAACATTAAAGGGATTGAAAAAGAAATTAAAGATGGAATTTAATCAGGTTAAACTAAAATAAACAAAACTACAAAATTAACAGAAAAAACTAACAAGACAAAATACAAGAATTAACAGAACGATTAAGATTTTAAGAAGGAAAAATATATAATAAAACTAAGGATAATAATTTAACAGATTTTACGATTTTAACATAAAAGGATGACTAAAATAAGTGAAGTAAAAGGATAAAACAGTAAAGTAAACGCATTATAAAAGGCAATAAAAATAAATAAAAGGCTGTAATAGCAATGAGGTAAAATAAACTGAAATAAAATAAAACTATTCGGAAGAATAAAGTAAAAAAATAATGAAATACTAATCAAAATAAATAAAAAGGAGAAAAAAATTTAAACCCAACTAAAACAGTTCCAGGCTGTCTGAAGGTCGTCAGAGACTAAGAGTTTAAAATGATTGAGTGACACCATGTTAGCGCTAAGCTAACATACTACTAAACAGACATTTATAGCTTGTAAATCATTCCATGTGTTTTATCTGAAGCTTGTATCAGTCATTATCATGTATCTGAGCTTGTATCAGTGTTACAGTGACTCTTTCAGTAAAGAGTCCTGCACAGAGCTGCCGCCACTGTTTTACATTCCTAACAACTAACCGGAACACTGCTTAGACTACAACATGTATTAACAATCAGTGATGTATCTAGAACCTCCAGAAGGACGAGAGTCACCGCAACCCTAATGCAAATCAGTGTGATTGGTTGATTCATCTGTCACTTCCTAAATATGTTGGTCGTTAATCTAAGTCTAAGTCTAAGGCCTTCAGTCCAGCTCCTGAAGCCCTAGCCAATAGGAGAGCTCGCTTGGCTGTATCTGCCACAGAGAGAACAATCCAGACTGGATGATTTTCTGTTAAACGTTTCAAGAATTTAACCCTTTTGTTTCAAAACTTAACAATGAAATAAGAGAATTACTCCACTTACTGGCAGAGTTTTCTTGTTTCAGACTCTCTGAAGGTCTAGAACAGTGGTCTTCAGCCTGGGGGCCACGGCTGTAATGTGTTGGAAGCCAAAGGAGACGAGAAGGCAGGATGCAGGTGCGAGCTAGCAGTTTTACTGTTGTCCATGAAGAAGGTAGTAAAGAAAAAAACAGAAACGAAAGAAAAGCAAAATAAGGAAAGTACTAAAGAAATGAAAAGAATCTCCAAAAGCAAAGAACAGAAAAAACTACTCAAATTAAGAATCAGTTAAACACACTACAAACAACGGCAAGCAGGGAACAGACCAAACCAAAGGGTACAAATAGACAAAGGACACATGAGAAACACCTGGGGCTAACGAGAGGGTGGGGCTACAGACTTCACACAGGTGGGACAGATGACTGGGGAGGAGACAGACCAAAACAACAAAAGCACATGGCAGATGTAAACTAAAAGCACATGGAACAAGAAACATGAGGGAAGATAAACAAAGACAGACAGACAGAAATGAGGAAAGACAAAGCAGGACAGGACAGGAGGTTCCAACGACACTGGAATGCTGGACGCTGGAAGTAGTGGTTGCTGGGTGACACTGCTTTCACTAACACAGAGGTCAGCAACATGCAGCTCTTCTACTGCCCTGTTGTGGCTCCACAGCTGAATTAGATTAGTAGGTAAAAATAAAATAATCCTCCTTTACAGTAAAATAAAGCTCTGCTGATCGTTCAACACAGTTTAACAATAAATGGTCTTAAACTCTGGAGTTAATGTAGAACTGCTGATTCACCCTTTAACCCTGAAGATCAGCGCAGACTGCTGGTCACCATAGCAACACAGACAACAGTCTCGCCTAGCTAGTAGCTAACGAAACGGCAAAGAGAGAGATTTAAGATGAACATCGATAATTTGGAGATGAATAGAGTCTGCTTTTTGTTACAATTTTCCCGTTCCACCTTAAATGGTGCCGCAGTTACATTTTGGTGCCACAGGCACCATTTAAGGTGGAACGGGAAAATTCAAACAAGAAGCTGGCAAATAAGATACGACTTCAGCCTCGTAAAAGATGAACGTTGAGAGACATTTTACAAGAAACTGATCTACTTTTGTGGAAAAGTTTCCTGCTGGAGATGCGAGAAAAGCAGCTATAGCTGATCTAAAGCTTAAAGCAGAGCAAAGTCAGTCTGTGTTTTTCGTTTATATTATATTTTTAGTCTATATTAGTTCATCAGCACATACTGAGACATACTTACAGCCAAGATGGTAAAATGGACATAAGATATTGTGGCTCCCAAGGTGGTGTGATTTTTGTTCAAAGGCCAAAATGGATCTTCTTAACATTTGGGTCGCGACACCTGCGCTAACACAATAACAATAACAGCGATGATGAGTAGAGCATGTACAGCTCATGCAAGTGTTCAAGCCTGAAGCCAAAAATAGCCATATCTCAGTTTCAGTGGTTTGTCCGCTGACCGGGAACATAGGAAAATCGGTTTGCACAGTTAATAAAGGAACAAACTTCATCATACGGAGTAAAAGAACCTCTGTATTTGCATTTCAGCACTGCTGACTGTCACACTGAATGCAGTTTGTGCTTTAAAGTTGCTGCTTCAGCCGCTTTCAGAGGAACAGTTTTCATTTTCTCCCTCAAAAGCTGTCGTATCTGAGAGAGCGAGAGCTCAGCGGGGAGCAGGTGTTCGTTTGCTGGAGCCGGTGTTTGTCTGAGACATCTATAGTAGCGGTACGGACACTGACAGCCCAGCGGCGCCCCCTGCTGGAATGTGAGTGTGTTCAGCTTTTTGCCACTTAGTTTATTGTTAGTGAGCTGTTTCAACATCTCCAGCTAACATGGCTAAT